AAAAAAAAAAAAAAAAAAAAAAAAAAACACCAAAGCAAGACACAGGATTTTATCATTGTAAACTACCAGCAAGGTATGATCTAGACAGTATGAGCTGGAGAAAAATTCTGAGGGCAGCACAGATGTCCAAGAGTTCCTGGATGTCATTTCCTTTACTGTCCCCATAATACTTGAGACATCATCCTAGCATAAATCACAGGCAAAGGTATTAGGGGAATTTGGTTAGGGCTGCCTTTACAATATTGCTATCCCTCTTCCTGATAAAGGTTAATTCAGTCATTTCAGACATGATCTATTTTAATGCAATACCACTGTTCTACATCTGCTATTAGGCTGTTCTGTCACTTGTTTATAGTGATTAAATATGGATGCTGTTGAATGCATTTCACTCAGAGATGCACTATAATGGAGGTATAGCTCTTTAAGCTTTCTCTAACTATGGAAAAACAATCCACGAGATAGGAGTATGAGGTCGCACTTCTTAGGACATAGAGTATTTCTTTTGCAATTATCAGTCCCTCCGTTCTTCACTGCAGGTCTGTGGATCAAGAGAAAATGACAGAAAATTAAATATTCTTGGCAATTCCTGTCTGTTCTGACAACCCCTAACTTGCACCCCAATCACTGATGTCAATGATAGAACTGCTATAATAGCAGCTCTACATACTTTTCCTTTTGCTTCAAAGTGTTGGTTAGAGAGCACTACTGGGGTTAGCACTCTGTGTGCATGGGCTTAGAAAGCTTCCACCTAGGCCAAGGAGTCCTTCAGCACCAGCCAACCTAAAGTCGTTATTTAAAAGCAAACAAAAGCCCAGTTCCTGGGTACCTCCTGCACTCCCTCCATTCTTGTACCTTTTGTACTGACAACTGGCTTTTGGCAGCTACATGTCCAATTTGCAATGAGCACACTCCAACCACTGCTAGCTACTATAATGATACAAACCCAGGACACAGTAAAGCTACAAACAGTTAAGATACAGGCATTACACTTAACGTTACTTACAACCAACCAGAAGACCAGGTTTCCAAAAGAACTCAGCACACTGCAGCTTCTCAAGAGAACACTCTTAATGGAGACTGCTTGAGAGAACTTGTTTTGAAAGCCTGGCCCAAAGATGAAATATCTGTCTTCAGATGTTAAGGTACAATCACCTAATGTCTGCCCTCGTACACTTGGGATTAATCGCATATTGTTTTTTAAATTGTCAACAAATAGGAACTTTTTTTCAGTTAAAAAAGACAGGTTCATATTTACCACACAATCACAATTTGTATCATTCATCTTTAATGACAGACAGAAGCTACAGGTTTATAAATATATATCTTTCATAGTTGTGACAATCAGTGACTAGAGAGTTGTAGTGGAAAATAGTCTGAAATATAGTAAGGCTAGATAAATTACAAGGCATTATTACAAAAAGTTGATTCCAAACTTTTGGTGATATTTTACAAACATTAGAAATAAATATTTAGTGCTACATAACCCTGCAGAAGAAACTACAACCAAAAGCAGATTACACCAGCTCAAACTTAAGAAACAATTGTTGTTAAAAAACAAAACAAAAGAAAAAAAGTCAGGGTAAATCAAAGCAACAGCAATGACAACTATTTGTGTTAGAGAACTTAGTCTTGAACAGGTAGAATTACCATCACTGAAAGAACTGTTTTGTTTG